CCCCCCCCCCCTCCCAAGAAATAAAAAAAGAATAAACTCCCTTTCCTCCTCCCCCCGGAACCGGGGAATATTATATAGCCCCCCTCTCACACTCTCTCTTTTTTTATATCTTGCCCCCCCCCCCAGTGAGAAGAAAGAAAAATAATTGTCGGTTGTCGCGTCTTGTAGTTGCTGTCACCTGTGGATACACTCGTACATTCTTCCTTTCACCCGCTCTTTCACTCACACTGTCTCTCCATCCACAGTTCAACTCGTCATACGTTCAAAAGTTGCCCAATGATCATGTTTAGTTAGTGTGTGTATAAGTTTGTGTGTGTACATGTGCATGATGGTGGTGGGTGTGGGGTGGGTGTTACTGAAGGGTATAGGCGGGCTTGCCATGTGGTGTTCCTTCCCAGACCAGAGGGGCAGAATGAAAGTTGGCGCCGAACTCTCGCAATAAATAGGCAAAAAAATCACGAGACCGGAAGCCGGAAACCGTTCGGAGAAATAAAGATCGGCACTATTTCTCTGAACGTTCGGCGAAATAGTCACTTCGCAAAAAGAATTTAACTTAGCCCCCTGCCAATAATCCGGTATTACATTTTCGCGGATAATTGCATTCCCATCATGAATTTTACTAATTTTGGGTCCCTGATCAGGAAAATCGTATTATTTGTTTTTTAATTGACGAATATTTAGGAAATTTTTGGAATGCATTTTCAAGTCCGCCTGGGGCAACATCAAAGAAGCCGCTCCCTCGTCGTCGTGCCTTCAGTTCCCTGGCCAGGAAATATCTGGCGTCGCCGGATATCTTGTGGTTGGACTGAGAACCCTTCGCCTTCAATATCGAGAGCATTTCTCATTTCCACACTCAGTTTTACCGGGAAGTTGACAGGATGCCGGCCATCCTTTCGATATCCTACAGTTTGTCCATCAACCAACTGTTAGCCCTACGTCTAAATGGGGCCTTAGTGCTTTTAGTCCCCAAAAAGTAGTTCCTGCAGGCGGTCTGCTAATCTTCAAATTTTACCAACATTAATAATATTATACCAACTAGATTCTAGATCTAGAGCCTATGTACGGCATACCGTCACCTTAGTGTTTTGTGACGACTATTTCCGGAAGTGAACTTTTGTATTACCATAACTTCGGTCCTTTCAAAAAGAGTGACCTTATTTAGGCCACATATGGCCTAAATAAGCTAAACCCCCCTCCCTTACCTTATTTAGGCCACAGGTGGCCTAAATAAGCTAAACCCCCCCTCCCTTACCTTATTTAGGCCTCACCTGTGGCCTAAATAAGCTAAACCCCCCTCCCTTACCTTATTTAGGCCACACCTTTTTATACAAAGTCACAGAAATATTCCTTTTGTGCTTATTGAGGTACAGTGCAGGGTGATTTTACCTTCAAGGATAATTGGACAAAATGGGCAACATCTTTATTGCTAATGGTCATATTTAGACAAATCCTATATCATTGTCTTTTTTTTTCTTAACTGCTCATGGTTATTAAAGAGTAAGCCAACTAGGCAGTAATTTCGGATTCCTAATACTAATATTATGGGCATTCTTAAAATTTTTTAACTTGTTTTTACCGCTTTTCTCAACGTAAAACGGATTCCGTAAAAAAACAGAACAACAATGACCTTATCTTTCTTTTTCAAAGTATTGTGCATATATATGTGTGAAACTATATATTCTATGCTTTCATGTACATGAAAAAAGCTAATAAAGGCAAGCAAAATGTTCTTCAGATACATAGATCTAGTAGTAGGCCCACTGGAATTTTTTTATAAACCGGGAAAGATGACCAGAAAATAACAAAATTATTTTATGATCTTCACTTGCACTTGCAATTTTTTGGACAAATTATAGTCTACCTCATTGTCTTTTTTTCCCCGCATTTTTCTTCACTATTCATGACAACTGGCATGTATTGTTTTCAGTTATTATCAAAAAAGTGGATAGGCTTTGGGATTGAGAAAAATTTTGCGTATTGTGCTTTGTTCTTTACAATATTCATTATGGCTATGATTTATAAGTTGTACACTGAGACAAAACCGTACTAAATGAGAAAGGTGCACCATTATGAAAGTGGAACGAACTCAGTCGCCTGAAAAGGGTAGTTTGAGCATGTGTGGCCTAAATAAGCTAAACCCCCCTCCCTTACCTTATTTAGGCCACACCTTTTTATACAAAGTCACAGAAATATTCCTTTTGTGCTTATTGAGGTACAGTGCAGGGTGATTTTACCTTCAAGGATAATTGGACAAAATGGGCAACATCTTTATTGCT